TTTTCTCTTAAGAGATCACATTAAGGGAGACCTTCTTAAGTATGACCTTAATGGGAGCCAGAGCACCTGATTGGCTGATATCGATGACTCGAGAATTAATCGCAGATGGTTGATTTTAGTATGTATTGACCTAATGTCAGGCGTCTCGAAACATTTCACTATACACGTCAGCGCGGTGAGTCATTGATTAGCACTGCGACCTCACACATCCCGCGTTATTGGTTCAACTTCAGATCCTGGTTCAGGCTGTGGAGGTTGAATGTTCTCCTGTTGTTTGTACTTGGCTTCTTTACATCAGGGATTCTCAGCCCATGGGGTGCAACCCAAATTTGGGTCATGGCAAGTTCTGAAAGTGTCATGAGGCAGAATTGGAAATGTAAGCATTTTAAAACCAGCAAGCTCCTATGCTGATCCGCGATCAGGTTTCTCAGCCCCAGTCATAGAATTAACCCATATAAACGGGTCTTGGGTCTGCAAATGCTTACCGCCAAACTCGTGAACACTCAACTAATCCAAGAAGCCAAACCACAGACGCTTAATTTAAAATCCACTGGAACATCCAATCAGATTTATGCGATAGGCATTAATTGGCGCAAATTGCAGAGTGCACTGCGCGCTTAATCATATCGTTAATTTAAATCTATACCAGATACAGGGTTGCGACTGAGCTGGCATGGAAAAAACTTTTGAGAACCACTGATATAGATCAGGGTTCCCCAATTCCAGTCCTGGAGGGTCAGTCTGTGTCAGTTAGCAGATTTTCCTGCTGAAACACACCTACTAAACCTGGCAATTGACTGGTGAGCTGAGGCGTGTTTGAGCAGAGAAATCTGTAAACTGGGGAACGCTGCTTTAGATATGCCAGTTTCCTCTCGTGATCCAAAAACGTGTGGCTAGGTTAACTGGTGTCTTTGAATTTCCCCTAGCGTGTGACTGTGTGCCCTGTGATAGGCTGCTATTCCCTGTCTTATGATACATTCTGGGAAACACTCCACTATCACCACAGCCCTGCACTGGATACACTGTTCTGTAGTATGGGAGGGATCACTACGCAAATAGTTGCACCACTAGCATGGAGATACTGTCCTAATGCTAGGCATCTTTTCATCGGCAAGGACCATCATTTCAATAAGCTCTCATTCTAATTCTCATTCTGGGTTTCTTCTCTTGCTGCCGTAACCCTAACCCTAACCCTTTTCACCCTCCCCATAACTTTGAATCCTACTCCTTTTTCTAAGTTCCCGTCCTGGTGACACCCTAAGAGTTTTCCTCTGGTTCCCTTCCCCCAGTATCTTCTCCTCCATGCTTGTATAACACTGGACTGAATCACTGTCTGAATATAAACCACACACTTCTGCGTCTGACCATGACACACCTTGTGAAACGGTGTTCCACTACCTCACCCTCTTCATATCTCCTTGTTTTAATATCTCCTCCCAGGATCTTTTCCACTGAACTATAGGAGAGCCCAAGAAAAAATACCCAACTGCAGCCGTTATTTGCCCCACCTGTAACGCCTCATTGCTCCACCTGTCCAATTCCAAACCTCTAGCATTTGTGTCCTGCTGGACATTCATTGGACTGGCTTGCTTCTCTCTCACTCCACTATATTTGCCTTTTGGTAACTGCATATTTCATCCTCCCAGACCCCTCTGCTGCCCCAAACACCACCTTTGACACTCTTTCCATCTCCTCCCTTCAAGAACCTTGTGGTTTCTGTATCTCTGCTCGCCTGCTTAACCTCAAACCTGCCTGACCACTTGTTCCAAGTCTTTTGGCAGAATACTCCCTGTTCACTCCTACCCCTCTCCACACTTTGTAAGGAATCATTCCTATGACCTGTTTTCCTCTCATCATCCTCACATCCCATCAGGGCATAATTCACCTGCCCCCCCCACCCCCTGTATGTTGAAAAACTATGTACAGCCCATTACTGTAGCTGTCAATAAATCTTCATTTGACAGGCAAAGCAACAAGTCACGTATAAAATATTTGTTGGTGACGCGCAAGGTGGTGTTTCAATGTATGGTCTATAAATATTCCGTTGGCCATTCAAGCCTCCTCTACTAGAAGCTACAGTAGCATAAGTTTCATGGACCTGAAGCCCTGTAGACCACAAGCATGCGTCTCCTACAGTAGCATAAGTTTCATGGACCTGAAGCCCTGTAGACCACAAGCATGCGTCTCCTACAGTAGCATGTTTGGGGAAAGATCTTTTATTTATTTACTTATTTATTTATTCTTCTTCAGTCCATCACTTCTGATACAATAAAACCCAAAATTTAGTCAGGCAAGTGAAGTTCAGCAAACTCTTCAGGTTTGTATTCACCACACAGTCTCAGGACTTACAAGAACGCCAAGAATTCCAAATGCTTACGACACTGCACAGAGATCACCTCTATGTCCAGGTTTGCTTGAGTTCCCTTCCATTGCAGCAAGATCTTCATTCTTGCTATTTTCTTGCCTTAACTGTGTATGTATGTACTGTATGTATGAGAGCTACTGACAACCAGAAACAATTTCCCTTTGTGTGCGTGTGTGTGTGTGTGTGTGAACATACTCGGCCAATGAACTGGATTCTGATTCTAACGTGAGTAGTATGTGTGGCTTTCATCATTTTTGAGGAATTGTATAACATTAATCTGCTTGCTTGTACTGTGTTGTAAATTGTGCTCATCATTTGGAGTAACTAGCATAGATTATGCATTCATAGGCTTTTGCTGTAGTGGATCCTGTACTAATAATACCTGTATTCTTCACTGTAATAGGGCATTTTTAAGTAATGCAGTATCTCCCAATGATCTCGGAACTCTTTCTTTGAGATCTAGTCTATTTTGGTTTGTCTCTGAGTTACTCACATAGAATATCACAGCAGGTGAAAGCAGACATTGTATGAAGAGCTCTTAGATTGTTTGGAAGCACTGGATCTCACAATGACCTAATGGTGAAAGAATGCACTAAAATTCAAGGCTGCTATGTCATTCTGCTTTGATGTCCTGGAGTGGAAGAATATGAGAGAGTCATTATTCAGAAAGGAGGGCCGCGGTTCTGTGATACTGCTGACAGTGTCCCAAGGTTGTGCAGTGAGGCATCTGGTGGTGGAGCTGCTGTTGGTACGAGAACATGTGAAGATGATCCAGTGATGAGCAGTCATCCTCAAAGACGTACAGGCATTTGGTTATACCCTAACCAAGCTCACCTTGATACACTTTTCTCCACATTTATGTTGACCTTTCTGTCAAACATCGTAGGGCAAGTGTCTGATGAATGTTAGCAGTCTGAACTTGTGCAGGTTATTTGAAGAACATGATCTTGTCAGCAGAAATACTGTGAAATACACGTTTTTATAGTTAAAATAGTGAATTGATCTGACATCTAGGAAGGTGCAAATGCAATTAATCTATGTAATGACCTGTTCATGACACCTCTGTACAACACATTGTGTTATTCATAAATACCAGGCATGTTTATTATGTAATTGATGTCATGTGCTGAAACTGAACATTTAAACATTTTCATTGATCCAATTAGGCCTGTTGGGTATTACAAGTAATGAGATTTCTTAAAAGGGCAGGCAAATAAATTAACAATTGCAATGGGCATACAGGTTCATGGTTCATACTGAGTATTGTTTTTAGTGCAAAACACTAAATACATTTGATTGGAAAGGGATTATCCATTTTCCCTCCATTTTTCCTGTTCCAAGATAATATATAAAAATGCATTGGCAAAACAAATGTGAATTTTTATATATAATGTGGAGACATGAGCCAACTAATGCAGAGCTGGGTTGTCCAGGTCCTGTGAGTAAAAGTCCAGAGCAAGATTTTGTTTCAACCAACTAGTTAAGGATACTGTTTTAAGTTAAGAAAGTATTTCACCACAGTGCTAATGTAGAAAATTAGAAATTGAATGGTATTACCATAGCCATAATATGACTTTTGTTAACTATCAATGTTATGTTATCAATGTTAAATAATAATAAATAATATTACTTAATTAATTAATAAATAATAATGATAATAATAATTGATACTTTATTGATCCCCGTGGGGTAATTCTCTAAATGTAAACCCAATTAAGTCAAATAACATCACTTAAACATTTTAATAAATTATTAACAATTATTATTATTATTATTATTATTATTAGTAGTAGTAGTAGTAGTAGTAGTAGTAGTAGTAGTAGTAGTGGTGGTGGTGGTATTAGTAATAATAATATACGAATGATAGTTATAATGCTTGTTTATTTTGCTGCTGTTTGTTTGTTTATTGGGATGATTCAGTCCACAACTAGGGAAAATATATTATATATTATTATATATATTATTAATGTATACTGATGTGTTTTATATGTTTCTCTTATACAGGAATTCATATTTGCAAAAAATGTTCATTTTGTACTTACTGAGGTTGCTGTTGTTGTTTCTAGCAATTAAACTCAATTATTTTCATTATGTGTGTTTTAATTTAACAATGACAAGAAAAAACCTGCTCTTTGATTTCTGACTGCGTCCGGTATATCAGTTTTTTTTAATACCATTTGAATTATACCATTTGTATGTATAATTTGTATGTTTGTCACATTAATTTGTCAGTTAATTCAAAAATAGACTTGTTACAAGGTTTAATTTGAAAATTGTGAATTAGAAATCTTCCAAAATGGAGGTCTCACCACTTCAGTGCTGGGTTTGATGGGACGGTGCACGATAACACCACTGGGAATGATCTGATATGAACATTGTCTTTCTGCTGCTCTCCTGTGTTCTTATAGACGCCCAATTCTTGTTACATGGCTGTTTCCAGGAGGGGTAAAGGTTGCGGTTTTCTGAGGATAAGAGACGCAATAGTTCTTTTTTCTTGGTTCCTCCGAGGCAGAAGGGGTGAGCGGGAAGGAGGGGTTGTGGGGGAGAGCAGGGGGGGGGAGGAGGGGGAGTGTTTTATCAGCTTTCCTATTTCTCCTGTGGTCCCTCAAGCTCCCCGCACAGACCAGCAGAGTCCTGTGATGCCTTTGGGCATTTGGGTTCCTCACTGGGCACCATAAGCCAGCACAGTGTTACTTTGGGTACATTAGGTACAGCACAGTATTACTTTGGGTACACTGAGTACAGCACAGTATTACTTTGGGTAAACTGAGTACAGCACAGTATTACTTTGGCTACACTGAGTACAGCATAGTTATTTTGGCTCTTCTTTGCTTTACTCCTTTAGCGTATTGTAGACACAGCTAGATGACGAGTTGATCCTAATCCCAATCCTGTCGAGTATGGTCAGCAGACTGCAATTCTGACCAGGAATCGCCTTTGACACGTTTGATATTAAAACTTTCTGGGACTGGAAAGGACACACAGCAGGTAAGAAAATACAGGAATAACATTTCTTTTGTAAGCAATCAGCAATTAAGTTGATATTTGTGTCTGCTTGAATTTAGCAGTCAACAGGTGTATTTGTTCTTCACTTCTGTGATCATTTTCATATTTATGAAATTTGTATGCAAACAATTTTTTTACTCAATCAAAACAATGATAAATAGTAATAAAAAATAGTATTTTTTTTAGAAAATTGTTTTATCCTCTTGCCTCAAAAATGAACTCCACAGAAAATAAATATAACTGGAATTGTAAATAAAGGAAGTGAATAAGTGGAATTAAGGAATTCATAGCATTTAATTATATGTTGTACAAAGATACAAATGAATTTCATAATTAATTAATAGTGCACTTGTATTTATATATAAATTGGTGCCACTTTACAATAAGGCTTCCCATATAAAGAGTTTATGAATGGTTTATAATCTGTTTATTAATTAGGTTGTAACACTTTGTAAATTATTAATAGACAATTTTAAACAAGTTTTTTTTATTAACGAGTCACTGCCATTTACAAGTGGCTAAAGGGAGCCTTATTGTAAAGTGGTACCTATAAATTTTATATATATATATATATATATATATATATATATATATAAATTTATATATATATATATATAAAAATTTATATATANTATATATATATATAAAAATTTATATATATATATATATAAAAATTTATATATATATATATATAAAAATTTATATATATATATATATATAAAAATTTATATATATATATATATACTGTAATATTAGGTAGGTAGGTAGAAAACTTTATTAATCCCTCGGGAAGGTTCCTCCGGGAAATTCAGTATTAATGGGTCACTGTGCATAATGTTTATAAATGAATAGCTATATTTCTCATTACTTATTACTATAACTGCTTTATATTACTAAAATTACAAATTCTCTCAGGTTACCAGCATGATCATAAATATATTCACAGTCTGAGATCAAGCTCTGAGCTTCGTTAAAGCAACAGGAGGAACTGAACAGAAATAATGACTGACCAAAATGGGACCGTAACGCCATGTTTTATGACACTTAAACACCATTCAGGCACTCCACTTATGTCGATGTTTAGGTTTGTAATGGGCGTTAGCTCCCCGGCCAAGGTCACCGACGGCAGCCAGCTCAGGGGTGAGCACGCACGTCCACCCGCTTTTTCCGGGTCTAGGTCGTGGGCTTTGCTGTTAGCTTGAGGTACCATCGTCAGGCCTGGGAATTCTTACCCTGACAGAGATCTCCTAACGATTAAAAGGTGCTCTGCCAGTGGAACAGATGTCTTCGGTCGTAGCCCCGGCCAAGTCCGCCAGCACTATGGGCCCCAAAGAAGTGGAGCTGATTCTGGTTAAGGAGCAGAACGGGGTGCAGTTCACCAGCTCCACCTTGGCTAGTCCTGCCCAGACGCCCCCCTCGGGCGAGGAGCGGGAGACGTGGGGCAAGAAGATCGACTTCCTCCTCTCGGTCATCGGTTTCGCTGTGGACCTGGCCAATGTCTGGAGGTTCCCTTATCTCTGCTACAAGAACGGAGGAGGTAGGACCAGCACCGATGCCTTAACCGTTTGCCCTAAAAATGGCTGACGCTGCAAAGGAATTAGATTTGCACAGCTGCTTAGCCAGCGGCTACTGAACCCCAGCAGGAGGAGAATGAGCTG